TATGAAGGGACAGATGACAAATGTCCTCAGAATAATCAGAGATTTGTGATATTTTCCTGTGATGAAAGCGTATCTTTTTCTTTTTTTTTTTACTTATTTCCTGGTAGTAAAGCTAACCTTGAGTATTTCCTAACCTCATCCCCACTGTCCTGGTCCCTAAAAAGACCTCAGGTCTCCCGCAGGCTCAGATGCTCGCTGGCTAGCTCGCCCTGTGCCTGGTTTTCTGCCGTTGGCATCCTGGGGCTTGGCCGTCAGCAGGCTGGCTGGCAGGGCTCTGCAGTGGCTTACGAGCTGGAGGACAGCGGCATAGAAGGAGCTTTGTAAAGGGGCCTGGTTCCTGGAGCTGTGGTCTCAAGATGGTTGGTGTATCTGCTGGTGCCTCCGCAGAGCGCTCACTGTGTTGCAGATGTATCTGTTCTCTGCTGCCAGCTGTAATTAGTCATCGGTTGGCAACAGTTTGGTTTTTTGTTCTTTCAGTATCTCTTAGGACACTTTTCCCAAATTATTTTCTAACTGTGAACTCCCTAGTTCATCTTCTCTTTCTTTTTTTTTTTTTTCCTGGAAAGCTCTGATGCTCTTTGTCCTCATCATTAAGATAAAGGATAGGCAAGGAATACCCTTTACTACGTTGATACCCCTCCTAGCAAAACAGTCTGGTGCTTTTTTTATGTCATGGATTTCAGGGTGGCAGCCCTGGTTTCCAAAATTGTAGCCACAACAGGACCATCTGTGTTTGCTGTCTGCAAGACATTTCCTTCTAGGTTCCTGGGGTACGTTACAGGGCTTCCAGACATTCCTACTGCCTGTCCCTCTTGGTACACAGTCAGGAGACAATAGGTTTGTAACAATAACACAGATGCATGTAAACCTAAACTCTTCAGCACATCCTGCTGTCAGTGGGACACAGTCTGCTCGTGTCTGAACAGCCACCAGCATCTCTCTAAATTGTGTCTGGCCACTCATCCCTGCATTTCTTCCTACACAGCCTGCTTTTTGCCATTAATACCAAGGTGCTGACCCTGGCAAAGCAGCCATGTATTGTGGGAAAGAACCTTCCCTGTTACTAACCAGCCATTATATGCTTGAAAATGTTTCCAGCTTCAGATTTTTTGAGAAGATCAGGAAAGGATTGTTCCTGTTCTTTTTTTCCTTCCTGAAAAATTACTTTACTTCTGAACATAGCAGTATTTATTGCTTACTTTCCTAACTTTTCCTTTTAATCCTGCAACTGCCATTAGATAAAATAATGAACCGAGTTACTTATTCATAAAGGCAAAGTAAATATTTGTTCTCTGCTGTATTCTAATAAAATAATGTTGTCATTGATTATTGGCAGTAAATTATACATTTAAAAGTAAACAAAGCCATACACATGAAAATATCTTTCATCATTTTTCCTGAAGCATCTTATTCTTTTATTTTATCATTGTTGGTATGAGATCTGAAATCTTAATGCGTGTATTTTGATTTTCACTGTCTCCCTATTTCATTTCTATTGCAAATGCTTTCTACTGAGAAATTATAAACAGTTTTCTACTTTCATTGCTCCCCTTCCCCTCTTCCCAGTCTGGACCGATTCTGACAATATCATTTATGTGTTGTCATTAATAGTGGTCCACTGAGGGAATTATAATTCTCCTGTTTGGGTTCTGCATTTTAACATTTGGCTGTTGAAATGTAGTTGGGGAGTAAGAAAGGCATAAAGTCTCAAAAAAACCCTTTTTTTAAAATTTGTAGAAGCTATTTTCTAGTCTAAGAGAAAATAAAGGAAAGATGGATGCTCTTTAATTTCCAGTGTGCTGTTTATCTCAAAAGCAGATTTTCTATTTGGAGAAATGTTGTGAGGCATTATTCCCAAGTGTCAACTAGACCCTATGTACATATAAAGTATATAAAGAACTACGATATGTTGCACAGATATTAATAATTTTTCAACAAAAAACTCTGTAACATATTTTAGCACAGGAATCTTACTCCAATAGGCTGCAGAACTTTACCGCAGCCACAGTGATCACAAAAATTCCTAGCCTGCTTTGTTTAACATGGGATGCATTTATGAAATAGGCTGTAATAGATCCTTCAGGATGTTTCATAGACAATTTTCTTTCTGAATGGGTGGAGCCACAACCTCAAACAAATGGCAAGACCTTGAACAACTTGAATATTTAAAAATGAATTAAAAATGGATGACCGTAACCTTCCAAGTGCTGATACTTTTTTCTCTCTAAAGAAAAAAAGAAATTTCATAGGTTACTAACAGGTAATTTCTTTCTTATTCTGAGAATTCTGAATAGATTTTCATCATAGGCCTCCAGGGCCTTGCTCTTCACACTGCTTAATTTCTTTGAGCCTTCAGTAGTACACCTCCAATACACTAGTGTTAGCAGAGGGTTGCAACCTCTGAGATGTGTCTTAAAATAGTTCATTTTAGGATTCTTTAGGACAGGAAGCCTGTAAATACGGTGCAAAATCTGAAGCACGAAAAGCAAGAAGTTTCTGCTTCTTCTCAGCATGTCTGGGTTTAGAATAATGCTTCATGCTATGTGTTGCCGCTCTAAATAGAAGATATTTATAGATATTTAAGCTTGCCTACCTATGGTTATGTTTCTAAATACGTTTGAGGCTTTTAGAGTGTGGACCCATTGACTTTTGTAGGAGTGTGCTGAGTGGTTTAGCACTCAGAAGACTAAAGGTAAACTCTTAGCAGCCTAAATTTAGGCACCTCATTTTAAAAACTTTGGCCCAGATATGTGAACCCAGAAGAATGAGTTACAGTAACTCATTTCAAATTCCCTGGCTCTTGCAGCTCCCCAGACTTAGCATTTATTCATACAAATTGCTCACTGTTGCAAATAAATCACAAAATGTAGCCAGTGCAGTAAGTCTGCACCTGAGCATTATTTAGTTCTGCTTTGTTAATGTTGGCAGCACTTTGCTTTTCCTCTATATGTTACAGCACCTGGCTATTTTGGCTTTGTCTGAATATGTTAGAGGGGTGAATAGGGAGAAAATCTACAAGGTTTTGGCCTCACTTTCATTACTGCTAGCTTTTCTGGCAAATAGCTGTGATTCCTCAGTTAGGTGGTCAGTTTAATTTTCCTGCCAGCTTAAAAGAAATACAAGGGAGACAATTTCTCACTGCGTGCTTTGGAGAGGATTATCTTGTCAGAAGTGTTGTCTCTAGAGGTTCTCATCTGCTTTGACACCAAGGATGGTTAATATCCCATAATACTGTTTATGATGATGATGAGAAGCACTGTGCCCTGTCTGTGCTGATTTTTCTCTTTCGACTTCTTTGTGGTTTCTCTTTTGGGATTTTTGTCTCCTTATAGCAGTACTTCACCTTGAAGACACGAGAAATAGATTGCGCTGCCCACAATTTTCTCTTAGGTTTGTGTAGGCTAAACAAATGAGTAAAGTTTTAAAATGCAGTTATTTTGGCAAGTAATTTACATTTTTTTTTAAACACAGTATAAACTAAGAGTAATGTTAAAAGTGTTGGTGTTGGCTACTTAGCCGGTTTTTGGCTTGTTTTTTTTCCTGGGATCAGGTAACAGTACTCCCTTTGCTTATATTAAGGATGGATATCTTGTCATTTCATTGCAGTCTTGTAGGTTGTGGGCGTTTATTCTAAGCCAGTCATCTGTTGTCAGTGTCATGAGAGAAGGTGATTCATCCCATCTGACGCTAAATATCTGAGAGGCTTATTATGCAAATGTGTTCTGGAGAGGAAGGTGGTTGATAATGTTTCTGCCCAGCCCAGCGCTGCAGTGTACAGAGCCTCTCTGTACCAGTGCAGTTGTTTTTGAGGCCACACACACTGAACAGGTTATGGAAATTATCCATGTTCAAAACCAGTATCTGAAAGTATTTTGTTCATCTGTAATTTTTTTTTTTTTTATCAGGTTCATTTCAGTGACTCATAGGGCCATTTATAACAGCGATAAGAATATCTGTTCAGTAAAAGTGGTCATATTGGCACAAAAGAACGAAATGGTTGAAGGCAGAAACATTCAAAACTGTGTAATGAACTGCCTCCTGAAATATGTGTGCGCATGGGGACTGTCCTGTTGTATTAGATGAGATGAATCCACAATAGTTGTTTAACCGTGTGTTAAGCAGGACATTAGCAATGTCATTATCACTGTAGTGTACACCTCTTGATGCTTGATATTGCTTTATTAGACTATAAAGTATCTTGAAGTGAGCTAATCTATGTCAAACAAAGGGGGCAGTTAGAAACTTCTGTGAATATCGCCATATCCTTCCACTGAGGTGCTCACTATTAGTAGCGCTGTTTGTGTTTGCAGTCTTTCCCAATTTTAGCATCTTAGGGAGCCATGAAGGGTTACATGTGTATGGATAAAGATGCTGGCCAATGAGGCTATTTCTCTATAATATGTGGTGGTTATCCAAGTCAGCACCAAGAAGCCAGAAAAAGTGTTCATGCAAATCATAAAGTTCTCTTGGGTCTTATGTAAATTTGAAGAGGGGATGACTCATATGAACTTGAGTGTCTGCGTGGTGTTTTTCATTAAGTAGGTTAGCTAAGCTATCAGAGTTGTAGTGAGACAGAGACATTATTTTTGGGGAGGCATATTGAAAAGAATCCCAGCCTACTAGAATGCATTAGATATATCATATGGAAGTTAAACCTTATGAACTGCCTGTTCTGTGTGCAGTTGTTCATCACAGGATCCCTTACCATGCTGATGTACCCCCCTGCTCCAATATGCTTTTGTGGTACATCTAGGGAGTACCTTCATGGTACAGGTGACTTTGGTTTAGAGACTGAAGTCAGAGAAGTGACTACCACCTCTAATATAATACAGTTCCATGAAGCAGCAGTGAAAGAGATGAAAAGAACTATGCTGAAAACATGCCAATACAAGGAAAGCAATGCAAATGAGCTTTATAGTACCTTTTGATGTAAGTTCTTTCTGGAACATGTTTCACGTTTTATTTATTTTTATTATTATGTTTCTTTTTTATTTTTGTAGGCTGTGGAAACCAACCTTGCATCAAAGGATAGTCACTGGGTCTATGTAAATGAGGTAAGAAAGTCAAAAGAGACAACATAGCTTGGTACATTCACTCATCACTGTCTTTTGTTTCATATATTTTGACACATCAAACTGAGCACACACTTAGTATTTTTGCTTCTTTGAATGGTACGAGATGCAAAATCTGTGGTGTCATGCTTGTCTGTCTCAGTGGAATTGGCATAGCTTGAATACCAAAGGTTGAAAAAATGCTTCCAATATACCTCAGGGCAGTTGGGAGACTATTTGTACCTTCATGTTGACCCTACTTCATTAGCTATTTTGGGAAAAGAGAATATATCAAAAGAAGCCTAAAAGGCATGCATCTCTATTTGCCAGATTCTCACCCTTCAGTGCTGTGAAAGCCTGCACTCAGATACAGGGAGAGAAAGAGTGCTGAGGCTAGTTGCAGGCTTAGCTCGTTTGAAAATGCATTTACATGATACACAGGTTTTATCTAGTGCAGAATTGTGTTGGTGTTTTGGCCAAGATCCAGGATGGCATAGATTTAAAAAGTGATATTTCCTCTCTGCAGCAAATGGTATCCTGTCTTGCTACTACGATTATTTATTTTACCTTAGTACCCCAGTGCCTTAATGGGAATCCTTGCAGACTCGTGTTTAAGAAGCAATGACAAGCTTGAAATGTTGTACCATATATAATAATTTATAAATCACTGATTCTTTGGGATAAATGGAACTATTTTATATATCTCTAGTTTTAATAATGATTTGCTAAAAGAGGGTAAAATATCTAGGTTAAAAAGAACCATGTTCACTGTTTTATATCATAAATGCATAGCTTCTAATTTAATAACCAATTCCTTTGTTAATTTCTCATTCCTTTCTTTGCACCTAACTAATAATTTTGGATAGGCTACTTTTAATAGTAACTATAAATTTTATTGTGTGGCATTAGAAAAGCTCTGTAATTAAATAGGGGTTAGGGAAAGCGAGTCAAATCTCTGCTTATAAAGGCCTTATAAATTCTTTCTAGTCCTTGTTACATTTAAGTACTTCCTGATTTGTCAGCTGCAGTAATGACCTACTACAAAATATCAGCAAGATGCCCAGAGAGTCAGTGTGTATGTTCACATAAAGATAATACAGTGCATATTTCCCTAAACATTTATAGAGAAGGGAGTGTTTGTGAATTTGTTACTGCTGCTGTTACTGTTCGGATGTTAAAACTCACTTCATGAAGCCTGAATCTCTAACACCAGAAATAAAAACCTTCAGCACTCAGGCACAAACGTGTATACATAGACAAACACATCACACAGGGTGTCAATTCTGCTTTTATTTTGGAAACTTTGGGGGTTTTTCTCTTTTATGGCTAGAGACTGGGTAGAGAAGCTGCAACAGCAAAATGTAAATCCAGATTATAGCTTTTTAATGAAAAATATTAGTGCACATACTTACAAATATCTCAAAATGCAATTAAATTCAAACAGACAGTTACAGAAGCTTTTCAAATTCATGAAACTTTGAAGAACTCTTTGCAGGCAAAAAGAGGAGGAAATGTCTTGACTGTCCTTTTGTTAGCAGAAGTGCGTTGGTCTTTGTGTGGTTAAAGCTACTGTGAAATCCAGATGCTGTCTGTTCTGTAAATGGACCAAATACTTAGCTAGTTCTTTTTTTTTCTCCCAGGCAGATTGAGGATCCTGCACTTTTGTGTTGACCCTGTGGTCTGTGTGTCCTAATGATCCCACTGCAAGGAAAGAGAGGTATAGGGCTAACTGACCTGAAAGGGCAGTAGTAGGAAGTGAACACAGTGACAATTATTTCCATTGAGGTTACTTGTATGAAGAGCTTTGGATTAAACAGGTGCTTTAGGGCTTTCTGACTTCAGAGAACCATTTAAGGGCCTGGTACAGGTTAGACTACTGAGGTCTACTGATCTTGAGCACCTTCTCGCAATCCACCCTGTCTCCCACCTTTTGTCAAACCAATGAGAATCTGAACCTTGGACTTCCCTTGCTATAGTAACAATGGCTATGCAGCATGGTATTATTTCAATAAGAGATTTTATTATTTTCTTACTTGAATTGCATCTACTTTAGTATTTCTGTATTGACAATCCAATAAACATTTGGCTTTTTTTTTTTTCCTTGTGCTTCTGTCCCATGCAGCAGGCTAGGAGTTAAGTTTTGGAGTTAGAACATATTTTGTCACTTTAATTTTGTTAGGTAAGCAACACCACCAAGCTTGTGATGAGGTACCTTAAAACTGTATGGCTGGTAAGCTTATTACACAGCAAATCAAGAAATGTGGAATATAAGTGCTGGTCTCAAATTACAGAGCTGTACTGTTAAGATCCTGCATTTGCTAGTTTCCAATAACCCAGTCCTCTGTGCTGAGGTATCTGTTCAGCTTGGATGCTATTTGTGGTGCAAAAGGACTCAATTGTCTTTAGAAAAAGGCTCGTGACTTGGGAGTTTGATTCATTGTGTGGGGTTGGAAGGCTGAGACATTACATGGCAAGTCTTTCAGGATAAGAGAATACACAGGGATGGGTCTTCGCAGGCAATATCATACTCTCAATATGGTCGTTGAAGCCAAAGTAAAAAACCTTACTGTTAAAAAAAAAAAAAGTAAGTATGTCTACTTTTCTCTTTTCAGACATTTTATATTTCAAACTAGGAGAACTGTCAAAAGTAGTGGAGATTTGAGGGGGGAAAAAAAACCAAAATGTATTTCTAACTACCCTCTCCCTTTCAGATTTATATTTCATCATCTTCGCTTTTATTCATCTAGAAATACTAAATCATTCCTTACGTCTGTGTAGGTAGCAATTCTGCTTGAATTCTGGGTTAAACATGCCAAGCAGCTTTTTAAAAGCAAGAATATTTTAAAATTCTGTATAAATCCTTGCAAAAGCAAACAACTCTTCAGATGAATGACTAGCCCATGGTTAGTTTGGTATCCAAAATAGTCCAAAACATCATATTATCATTGACTGTGTTAAGAGTTTCCAGCGACCAGCAATTCTGACTCTTAAGAAGATCTGTTAGAACATATCTGGTGTTTTTCTTGTACCTTTGCTATTTATGATTTTAAGTGTTGATGAAGTGACCTACCAGCTTTGATAGATGTGTCCTATTTCTTCTTGTGGCATGACTGGCACAGTTGTAGATGCCCCCCTTTTTCTGGTGTTTATTTTCTGTCTTATTTTCCTGTTGTGGTTGGTTTTTGGTTTGGATTATTTTTTTTTGGGGGGAGTTTCTCTTACATTCTTTTTCTCTTTGATCCCTGACATCAAGAATCTCTGTCAGTTCCTCTTGACATTTTTTATTCTTGCCTTCTTTTTTTCTGCCTTTTCAGAGAAAATGCATGCATTGCCCAGGGCATATGTCTGTGGGAGAGGCACAAGAGCAATACTTGAAACTGAATTTGTATAGGCTTGTACTAAAAGCAGTGCTCTAGGAGTGTGTGTCTGCTTTTTTATTAGCAGCAGCAGTAGGTCTGGAAGTATAAATAGCACTAGAAACCATGTTTTTCTTTTTGTGGGACATTTCATGGTTTTGAAATTTTCTCCATTTCAAGGGGAGAGAAAAACATAAAATTGTTCTATAAAACTGGAATTTGGGAAAAAAAAAATCAAATTAAAACTAGCATTTTATTCCCTTATATCAATATTTATATGTGTCAATATATATATCAGTTCTAATTCCAAGTTTCCAAACATTCGTAATTTTTACATGTAAACCAGTAAAGTACATGAAGCAATCAACTTCTCTTCATGGAAATTGAATGACTACAGAAGTTGACTGATAACTCAAATGAGTTGTTCCACTGTTGTCATATCCTTCCTTTAGTTTCTTTTTCAACCAACTTTCATCACTACTCAGAACTTTAACTGAGAGTTGTAAGACATGGTAGGATAAAGCACAAGGCTACTGGTTGAGAGGGGAATCAGTTTTTCAGAAAGGACAGGTAGGGATGAAGAGAGGACAATATAGCATGGCATGTCCAAAACATACATACATACTTGGTCTGAAGTTAAGGAGACACGAGGGTCAAATTTATAGAATAGCTGCATGGAAATGCACAAAAGACATCCACCGAGGAAGAGGTTTTTTTTTTTGAAAATGCATTTTTGACAGAAATGCCTCAAAGACAAGAAATTGAAGTAATAGAGGATTTTAATTTCCTTGGCAGTTGAAAAAGTAATGTTGGGACATAGACAAGGCTTCACAATTTCCTGTGATTGACAATGTTATCCCTACATGTTTAAAAAGCCAGTGCAGCCGTCAGTTCATATTTCATTTTGGCTAAGGAAGTCAGAAGATAATTGGTGTGAAAGTGATCGTGAGATGGTAGCATGCACTGTTTGAATAAGAGGAGGAAGTGAGAAAAGGAGAATAGGGATAATAGACATTAATAAAAAGATTGTCCAGCATCACAAGTTTAGGTAACGAAGAGCGCTTTTGGAAAGCTAATATGACGAGTAAAGAATGGCAAAAGAACTGAGGAATTACATGAAGATGGAGGCATAATAAGGTATCATTATGGTTCCAATGGGTTATCTTTACAGATCTTGAAGTCAGAGAGGAGTTCTAAGGAAAAAGTGGTGAATAAAGGGTCTACAGAGGAGTGTAAAGGCATCATGAAGTAAATCATTATAAAACTAGTCTGAGGTGCAAAATTACTCATACCACAGGTCATGAAAAGCAACAAGAGAAGTTTAGAAATACCAGAAGATAAAGGAAAAAGTGTAAGGTTATTAATTAATGGAAAAGAGAGGTTTAAATGTTTTTATGACTTACTTGATGATGTCTTTATAGAAACCATTACTTGTAACCAGGGGTTATAAACAGATTGCAGTAGTTTCAGTTTGTTTAGATAAATCTGAGCGCCAAGTACTTTGGGTGTGGCTACAAAATTAAGCTTAGCTAGTAAGCATCTGCGGAAGCAGTTTAGAATCTCAGTGGATAACAAACAGATTATTGACCAATACTACTGTTGTCTTGCAAAACAGGCAAATCCAGTCATCAGGTATGTTACTGGAAA